TAGGTGACCAGCCCCTAGCAAGTCTGGGTCTGTCCAGTACTGGTAGCTAGGGGCTGAGGTCAGAGAAGAGGAATAGGGAGATTATATATCCCCAGATCTATACCAAGAGCCCTTCTGCTCACTTCCCACCCTCCTCTGTGTGTATATCTGCGTCTATATGTGTGCACGTGGGTGATATTTTCCAGCATAATTCCCATGGAATAGGGAGATTATATATCCCCAGATCTATACCAAGAGCCCTTCTGCTCACTTCCCACCCTGCTCTGTGTGTATATCTGCGTCTATATGTGTGCACGTGGGTGATATTCTCCAGCATAATTCCCATTCGAATTACTCTGTCCCATTTTGAATATTTGGTTCAGAACGTAGATCTAAATTATTCCTTTAGAAAATATCGCCACTGTGTAAACAGTGAATGATATTAGGCCGCCCTGACATTTTTTATCCTCTTATATGTGGATGAGCACTTGACTTCCTGAGAAAAGTTTTCTAATCTTCAGGTAAGTAGGACAGTCGCTCTTCAAGACACAAGAGAACAGTTTGTTTTACTGTGGCGCCCTCTAGTGCCAGGTGAGACTAGGCTTGCTTTTTATATTTGCCGATATATAGAAAATACAAAAGAAGCAAAATTTGGAGAAGCAACAATTCTGGTTATTTTTCCTGTATTTTCTTTTGCATAGAATGGGGTGAAGTGCATTCCCTTAATATTTCACAAGACCCTTTGTGATCTACCCCTGCCTAGATTTTCAGCTCCATCTGCTGCTGCTTTGCCCCGTGAGCACTGGATTTCAGCCATTCTGAACAATTTGCTGTTCCCGCCTAGAAACCCTTCTGTCACCTACCCATCCACCTCCTTCTCTCTTGTCTGTTTAGAGTATTTCCACTCCACCTTCTAATATCAGCTGGGGCATCACCTCTTCCCCTAGGTTCTTCTGACTCCTCAGAAGACTGAGGGAGCCACTCCTCCCACCTTTTTCCCTCACCCTGCATCTTGACTGTGAGTTCAGAGTTCAAAAACCTTCTCCAATGCATGTTTGTGTCTCCAGTGCCTCAAACTGTACCTGGCGCAAGTAAACACTCAATGGAATGAATTTCAGTAAGGATGCTTTGATTGATAATAGGTAGACTCTAGTATAGGAGTTTGGAGTTTTTGGTTAATTAGCTAACTCTGTGATCATGCACACTTCACCTACCCTGTCTGGGTTTCTGTTTTCTTATCTATAAATAGACTATGTCTAACACCTCAAAACTTCAATGATTCTATACTGTTTCATTAATACCTCCTTGAAGATCCTCAAAACGCTTTATGACAAATCAGTTCAATACATCAGATGTTTCCTTTTAATTCTCAAAGGTTTACTTATGAAAAGCAATTCAATTGCAATTGAAATTATCCTATTTGCATGTCTGTCATAAAAAAAGAATTTCTAAAAAACTTGTTAGATTACATGGAGACATTTAAATTGAGCTTATCTGAGGCAAGATTTTTCAGGCAAATTCCTCTTTCTCTTTCTAAATGAAACAAAGAAAGGTCTAGGTTATAGCCTGAAACTTCATCAAGGAACTGAATTCTCATTCTGGCTCATATTGATCCAGAGCTTATCGACTCACTCTCTTAAGTACCTCCACTTCTGTTTTTCCCAGATGAAAATGCAATAAGAATGCAAACCTTTAACAGTGGGATTTGCTGAAAAAAATCACTAAAAGCCTTCCCACCTATGAAGGTCTATGATAAAGGTGAAACAAATCTTGACAGAGCCAGGCTTAGGTCAGCTTTTTTCTGCCATTGTTCCCCAGCTAAAATTCCAGGTAAGACTGGAAGCCTAACACTTTAAATGGCAGTCCTGATATAATATCCAAACTGTGTACATTGGCTTTCTCGACAGAAGCACTCAATTTTATAACTTGTCTCGTGGATATTCTTCTAAAGACATTCACTTCTTTCCCCTTCCAAAACAAGGTATTTTGCTGACCCAGAATAAGTTATTTAGATATGCACAGAAGATACAAGTTAAATATATAAAAGTATATATGTGCAAATTTGATTTCCCCCAGTCCCTTCTTAAGAGCCAAGAAATCCACCATCTAAGACATGAAAATCTGTTAAGCTCACATTTTGTATTTTTCACATCCTCATACCCATTCTATGAATGTATAAACTATTTATCATAAGATATTGAGCTGGGAGAGATCTTACTGATCATCGGATCCAACTGCCTCATGTTACAGATGAGAAAATCAAAGCCCAAGGAGGAAAGCAAATTATATGAGTAGTGGGTAAGGTTTATCTTTCTTTCTGACACCTCAAAAGCAAAAACTTCTGCTTTTCACATAAGTAAATAAAACTTAACTCAGTGGTGAGAAAATAGCTTGCTAAATAAATGACTGAATGGAAAATTGACTGACAAATGGAATTTAATATCTATATCTGTATTTACAGAGCCATCAATGTAGGCAATTATTTTATAAGGCTAAAAGTGAAATCTAAGGAATAAGGGAAAAAAGGATGATTATTTTCCTAATACCTTTCTCCTACAATAGAAGAATCCAATTTAACTAGGTAAATGATAAGCATCTTGGCTCTCCCTCACCTCCAATACACATCACTGTAACATTATGTCTAATAAAAGTAGAGGTGTGATTTGCACCACACCACCACCACCTACTCCATCCCTCAATCAAAATTCCAAACATTCTTGTAGATGAGTTTTAAAAGGCTATCAGTCTATGTCCCTATTTCAACAGCGACTCTGTAACCTTCTCTCTCTCTCTCTCCCCCTCTCTCCGTCTCTCTCTCTCATACACACAAACACACACACAATGCCGCCACCTCTGCCACTAACATTATTTGATCAGGTTCTGGGGAAAACACGTCAGTCCATCTACACTATCCTTCCCATAGTAAAATGTAAATAAAAATATGAGATCAAATGTAAGGACCCATTGTGCTGCCCCAGGTCCTATTACAGTATAAGAAATTACATTAGACAAAACAGTCTAGCTAGAAATAAGAGAAGAACTTAAAGTTAACATCAAATAAAGAATTTCAAATATCTGAGCCAAAAAATATTTCTGTATCCAGAGTACATGGGAGCATATTTCTTGAGCCAATAGCTCAAACGTACCTCCTATTTCTTTGCTTCCATTTCTGCGTCAAGCTAATTCTTTCCCAGAGGTCACCTTACCATGAGTTCTATTGTCCTAGAATCCAGCACTCAGCTTTTCTTCCCAGCTGTGTCACAGAGTTGCTGGGTGACTTAACAGAAAGGACCCCTCTTCTTCTCAACGTCCCCTGGGTATTGGCAGTCCCAGGTGGCCCAGCCGCCAACAGCCTGTACTCCTGTGTTTCACCTTTTGCTCTTTCCTGCTCAGAGCCCTTGTGCAATTGACTAGCCTTGATTGGGGCCATATGTCCTGTCTTTTTATCATCCCACAACATAAGGAAATAAGTAACACTGTGGTTATTTGAAAAAGCACTCTCAGGGCTTCCAGACCCAGTGAATGCACTCAACTGTTCTATTTTTGGTTGCTCTGTTTGTTTTCTTCTCGGAAGAGCCTAATTCCGGTCTATGTCTTGGGCATCCTGCCATGGACACCTTACTCCACCCCCGCACCCTCTCCCCGAATCATCTACTTTAACTTCCTACATCAACTTCACCCACAGGGTTCAGCACGGAGAAGTAAGTGTGTGGTGCGGTGAGGAGAGGAAAGGTGTGTTGTTGTGCTAATGGGTCTGCAAACCCGAGCGTGGCACCAGCTACACTTCTGGAATATGGAGACACGAGCACTCTCTGGTACAGTGATCACAACCTCACTCACTCCCACCAGCCTCCTTGCACTGAAAGCCCCTATTTCCTGCAGGCAGAGACAAGCCCAGGCATTTGCTAGCACTGCTTATCTTATCTTGGTTTAATTTCAGGTACCCAGTCTCTGACCTGGCCATCAGAAACAAATGTTCCTATTGTCTGATCATTGTCAGGGAGAGACTTTTCCAACCAAAAGCAACCAGCTTAGAGAAACAAGAATTATCAGACTAAGCCCAACAAAGGAATGGGGGAGGCTACAGATTTATATTCTTTTCAGTGGAATCTCCTGCAGTGAAGAACATCCTTAAAGACCTAATAATGTTTGTATATCTGAATGAATAAATAATAAAAAAGAATGTTAAGCATGGAACAAGAATAAAAATAAGGAAATGGAAAGAATATCTTAAGTGGGGAAAATACTAGAAAAATGATCACCCATGACATGATGTATTGAACAAAATGTGAAAAGCACAAAGGGATGTCTTTAGGTTGTGATTGGTGGAGAAAAACTGTGAGAAATAATATCTGGTTAAACTGTTGGGGTCAGTGGGCACACATGTAGGCATACACACATGCACGCACACATAGCTGCCCTTAAAATGCAAGGTTAGATAGGTTGTGATTGGTGGAGAAAAACTGTGAGAAATAATATCTGGTTAAACTGTTGGGGTCAGCGGGCACACATGTAGGCATACACACATGCACGCACACATAGCTGCCCTTAAAATGCAAGGTTAGCTATTTAACAGAAGTTAATACTGATACCTTCAGCATTCTCTAAAAAGCAAATCTCCTTGAGTGTCTATGGAGTTGATGAACACCATGGGAAAGTGTAACTGGTCTTTCTTATTTCCTTTTTATATTAATTCCCTGATCAGACACATTACTAGCAGAGTGGTGTATCAGTGACTCAAAGCTTCAAAGTGACAGCTCATAAAAGACCAGGATTCCTGCATTGTATGGAAAAAGAAAAAAACAGAGAGGCAGCACCCCTGCCCTATCTCCACTCAGCCCTGCCACTGCCACCGCTGAAAAGAAGGAAGGAAAGAAGAGACAGAAGGGTGTTTGACCGCACTTCACAATCGCTGAGGGGGAAAAACTCAACAATTGTGGCATCAGATTATTTTCAAGTGACTGTTTGCAGCTGCCATCATGAGCTGGAGGAGAGTAAAAGCACTCTGTGGTGCATCTTACCTGAGGAGCAAAGAAGTGCAGGCAGATGAAGGTGAGGCACAGGAGCAGCCCCAGCCCCTGAATCACGGAGGCCACCAGCAATAGCTTGTTCCTCTCGAATCTTGGTCTTTGTGTGTTTCCCACATTCTCGTCCAGGGATTGGACCCCTTCCATCTTCACAATCTGAATGAAGGGAAGATAAAAATATGGCAAAGGGGAACCTAGGGGGAAGACTGATATCTTCCCCACGAAGGGGGAGATGAAGGCAAAACAAGCCTATCAATCAAAAAATAGACAAAGGTCCCAGGACCAGAGATAAAAGGCGATTGAAAGAGCAGAGAGGACTCTCTCAGTTTTAACGCTGCAACTTTTGTAGGCAGGCGGGGGAACTTCTTTGTGACTAATCTGAATTTCCCCTTTACTTTCTTTCTTTTTTTTCTCTCTGGGCTAACAGGGAGTTGTTTTTGTGGCATTCCAGTTCTGATTTGAGTGACTGTGAAATGACAGTCAGAAAAGTATGCTATTTTCTTAATTTCTCATTGCACCAGTCAACAAATTGTGGGTCACTTGATAAAGATAAAAATCATCATCTGTTCATATAGGAGCTCACAAATCCCTTCCCCAAGGTGTCTCAAATCACAGAAGAGATTTAAGGAAAATGCTGGCCTTACGTTCCTGTCTGCACTTTATCATGTAACTGAGCATCGAACCCATTTAACAGATTCAGAAATAAAGTACACACAGACCATTCTTTAAGTGAAAAAGACAAAAGAAAAAAAATAGGATGGTGAAGTACCTAGAAATAAAGGAGTGAGATTCTCTGGTCATAGTCCATT